CTTTACTCAAAATTTATTTTTTTGACTATATAGTCGTTTTATCCATAATTCCTTGCCTTATCATCATTCCTCTTGGTATTTTCATCGCGCACTTTTGTCGTAAAATCATTCCGTCAGTTTGGTTTCACTTGCACTGGACATTACAAGTTTTTCTTTCTACAATTCCTATTATTGTTGGATTTGCAATAGTCCACCCCAGTTTCATGGAAAAATCTCACTTTAACTGGGCTGATACACCACATATGGTACGTAATTTCGAGCTTTGTAAATTTAAAAAATCTTACAGCATACAATCTAATTTTAACTATCAAATTTACATATCGAATTTATAGATAGTCGGGCACATTTTAGCATTCGCAATGGCTTTCGAGCTCATTTTCGGTGTTGTTTACACTTGCATTAGTAAATGTCATGTGAAGACATTAAGTATAGTTCATAAGTAAGTACTTATACTTATTCTTTATTTTATTATATTATTTTATATATATATTTTATTAATTTACTTTTTATCAAATCAATAATATCTCGACGGAATTCTTATGTAATAAGTTATGCTGGTTACTTGATACTTATTCTTGCGCTGGTAGAAACTGCGCTTGGTATTGCCCTATGGGAAATTCCTCCAGTTTGGCTTTATCTTTTCTTTGTATGGCTTGCGCTGTTAATTTTAATCTTTTTTATTGCTTACTTTAAAACTCGTACAAATGAACGTATAGAAAAACAGGTAAACAATATTTAGACTTATTATAATAGGTTAAATATTTTTGAATAGTTTAAAAATTTTATCATAAATAATGTACTATATTCTTGATGTATTATCATGTATTTACTACGTTTTATTATTATTATGTATTATTATTATGTATTATTATATTTTATCTAGAGATGTGATGAAATTAATTTCACCAATTCAACACCTAATTTCACCATCATCTTTAGTTTTACCATTATGGTTATTATTTATCCAATGTTAATAATCATTACTTAAAGAATTAAATTATTAATATGAAGGTATAATTTAAAAATATCCATATAAGTTTTATTAAAATTTATAAATTTTTTTGAATATACGTATTATGAAAATCAATTATACTGCTCAATGCACTAATATGCTTTGTGATTAAATTCTCGAATAATTAACAGCTGACATCGAAATACTAAAGCTTGCTCTAAATAATAAGGGATAGTTGCGCAGCGTAATGATGGGTGACGCATGACGCAACTTGCGTCATTGACTCATGACGAAACCATTTCGTCAGGCAACTTCGAATTGACGAAATGACGCATGACGCATGACGCGACTCATGACGCACTTATGACTAATGACGCAACTTAATAAATTTGCCTGGAAAGTGTAAATAATTACAAATACGGCCCAAATTAAAAATAATTACATGTAAGGGCCTAATTTTTAAAAATATTACATATATAGGGGCCCAAAATAACTGCGACGCTATTCACGTGATCGTTAGTAAGAAACGTAAGCGTAAGCATCGCATAAAATATGTAACGAGCGATTGTAAATT